TGTATCAGTGGAACTGATAACCAAAAGGACAATAATCTTGGGGCTTGACTATTGAATCATAACATAATTAGTAATAGCCCTATGATCAATATGATAAAATTATGAACAACTGTTATAATATGACCAGAAGTAATATAGACAAATATGTATCAATTCATTGAAAAGCAAATGTTAAGAAAAAAATAGTTGTGGGATCAAAAAAAGACCATGTGATATTATGAAAATATCAAAGCTAATTCTAATGCCTAAAAACAATAAGTTGTGAAAAAAGACAGATGCCCAAAGTATATATAAAAATAGAAAACATATAAGTATATCCCTATAAGGCTATATGTAGAGTGTTTAATTTTTATCAGTCTTTAAATTTATTGTGATTTGTGAAAAACAATTGTTATAAGAATTTGATATTGTAATATTGATAAGTGTGTGATATAAAATTAAATAGATCAACTAGACCCAAAAGTTACTAGTTATAATTTGTTTATTTATATCTTATTTATGTGATCTGATTTAATATTAGTTTTGAACATTTTAAATGTCTATAGTACCTTGATCAATATTGAGAAGTTTTGAACGTTAAGTATTATTTGTACTTTATTTTTTATTTTTGAAAGTTCATTTTTAAATGTTCTTCATCATTTTTGTGTGTTCTCTATGTGTATTGCAAGTTAAATCTGTGATACTCATAATTATTTGTTATTATGTTAATGATATATTGAAATAAAGTTGTCTTTCATATTCATCTTAAATTATATAGTTCCTGAAGAACTAGATGTAATAGTATTAATATAGTTCCAGAAGAACTAATACTGATTTTTCTTTATGAGCAGACAAAGTATTGATAGTGAAAAATATGACCCATAGATCTATATCACAGCTTTGGTTCTCCAAAGAGTGTAAATGTTATAGTATAATTGGATCAAAGTTTGTAACTATATATGAATTAGGAAGTACTTGGGCTTCCAAGCAAAAGATAGGTTATTGACTTTAACCTATTATATACTAGCAGTTGTTTATGAAATATATGAATAAAGGAATCATGTTTGAATGACTCAATCTTGAAGGAGAAAACTGTTAGAATACATGTATGAGTTGATATTGGATATATTTTTCATATCAATTTCATAAATAGATATCATCAATCATATATTATATTGAAAAGTTTATTATTGGTAACGAAACATGGTACAGTAAACCAGAAGTTTACTGATATAATTAGATTTATTATTGGCATGACTTGTTTGATTATCTTAAACTATATGATACGACAAGTTATTGAAGATTATGTATTGATATCCATTGAAGAACCAGAAGATTCTTCCGAATAGCCAACATTTTTAAGAATTCATATGTGCTGCTTGTTCTCAAAAAAAATTGATTATAAAATATCACTAGTTATGTTTTGTTTTCGAATGGATCACTATATTTCTGGAAATATACATGGGCCCATTTAGAAGCACATAAGCCATACAAGTATTCAATATTTAATAGATGCATCTATATAAAATGGTAAGATGTGTGATTAATATTAATTTGCAACCTGAAGTTTGCAAGATTATTTAGATAAATATTTCCAGACTATGTGATTCTCAAAACTTGATTTTAAAGATACTAGTGAATTTATATATATCAGGTTTTAAATGTTGAAAAGCTTACTTAACAAATTGATCTAGCAAAATCATTTATTAATGCCTCCGTGAATAGCTTGATCAATATTTATGAGAACAAATTTTTTCATTTTAGTGTTGGCATATTTGATTTAATAGAGTGCAGCACTTATAGACATCAAGGCAACAAAATTCTCCCAGTAAAATTGGCTTTTGGTCAGGAGCCAGGTATTTTCCATTTAAAATTTGAAATGTGCAATATTTATTCCTACCAATCCACCACAATGCACATAGATGGATATCAAAAGAAAGTTGAGACATATGTTGGGTAAGAACCTTCTTCTTCTTGTTTATCTCTAAATGGAACAAAACAATATTCCTAAAAGAAACAAATGGATTTAGGACACTTATATTGCATAATTAGTTGACTGTTATTCGACAAAATCTTTCTAATATGAGGGGGAGAAATTGAGTAGCTGGAAAAGAGAATGCATGGAATGCATCATTACTATCAAATACAGATCCTCATATATATCAGTATGAACCAGAAGTTCATCAAAATTGCATTCATTAAATGCTACAAAATATTTTACTGACCTGAATGAAAATTTTTAAATCTCTTATTCTAGTTGAAAATGCTCTAATTATTTTGAATATTCAGACATGCCAGAAGCATGAGAGGTTAATCGGTTCCAATATAAATATCTTGAATAAAGAGGAGCATATAACTTAGAAGTTATATTGAGGAGGCATGTATTCTAGAAGAGTGTTAAGACATAACTAATTGTAAAACTCCAGAAGAGGTTCAGGTACCCGAAAAGAAAAAAAAGAAATCTCAACAAGTTATGTCACAAAAAAAGAAATGGAACCGAAAAGGTAAAGTTGTCGACAATGATTTTCATAAGAATATCACGTGATAAAAAGAGAATTTTACACATAGATTTATCATACAAAGTAGATATAAATTTGGTCAAGAAGAAAAGAAAAAGGAAAAAGATGTGATGAAAATATTATTTCGATATGTGAAAATAGGCTTGTAGTCCCAACACATATAAAGTTTCTATAGAATATATGGTCGTTTATATGAAAATAAAGATTTTCACAAATAATTATGATGAGACATACTACTTGGTGGTGGATATAATTTTACATATTTGAATAGTTTGGCATTATGAAATTTGCCTATTAGATAACCCATGGATAAAGATCATTAAATAGTAAAAATTACATGATAATCTTTGAATGATTCTAAATATGCCAGGAGCATATATAAGAAAATCTTTCAGTAAATAAAATATTATGAAGATTAAACACATTTCAGTATGTATGATCCATTTTATAGTTTTGAATCAAAATATATGAAATTTCCTGAAGGATTTCACTTGCCAGAAGCATACAATTCAAGTTCTTGAGAACAATACTTAATTAAGCTAAATAAGTTCTATAAGAATTGAAGCGATCAAGACGTATGTGATATAACCGACTAAATAAATATTAGTTGAAGAAATGATATAAAAATAATCTAATTTGCCCATGTATTTTTATGAAAAGATCTGAAAATGAGTTTGCTATAATTGTTTATGTTGATGACATAAATATTATTGGAACTCCTAAAGAGCTTACAAAAGCTATGGATTGCTTAAAGAAAGAATTTGAAATGAAGGACTTGGGAAAAACAAAGTTTTGCCTCAAATTGCAAATTGAATACTTGAGAAATGAAGATTTTTTGTATCAAATAATTGATACAAAAAAAGGCCTTAAAGTGCTTTTATATGGATAAATCACATCCATTATATACTTTGATGGTTGTGAGATTTGTGGAGGTGAATAAAGAACCTTATATATTTTAAGAAGATGATGAAGAACTACTTGATCCAGAAGTATCAAATTATAGGTCCAGAAGTACCATATCATATCTTATCAGTCATGTATGACGTCACATATCATTTGCTGTTAACTTACTGGTAAGATATAATTCTTAACCAAAGACATTAGAATAGAATTCTAGATTCTTTTCTGATTCACATGCTGGTAATTCCAAATGGAGTATTTATCTCGTAATATCCAAAAGATGGTGAAATATATATCCAGCAAATTCGTTCAAATAAAAATCTAGCAGATTTGTTCACCAAGTCACTTCCTATTATAATATTTGAAAAGTTTGTTCATGATATCGGATGTCACAGTCTCAGGGATATCAATTGATGTTATCAAGAGGGGGAGTTAATACACGTTGTACTATTTTTTCCTTGTTTATGATTTTTTCTTACTGGGTTTTCCTAACAAAGTTTTTAATGAGGCAGTATCAAATAGTGTATCAGTGAATGTGTACTTTTTTTCTTCTACTAGGTTTTTATCCCACAGGGTTTTTCCTAGTTGAAGTTTTTTAACAAGGCTATAATGGACATCCAAGGGGGAGTGTTATGAATATTATGTGGATGTCCATTTACCCCTTTCTCTTCATCTTCTCCAAGTAACTTCCGCTACCTCTACCATCTATTACTCCTCCACTGTTCATTCACTCTTGTAACTCAACTCCATTCACATTTATGGGATTGATTATCCACTATTTGTCATTTAAGGACAATAGTAACATATGTATAAGACTGTGCCTATAAATAGGACATGTCATTTGTGTTGTAGTGCAAGTGAAGCAAGTGAAGGAATACAATATCATTCTCTCATTTTCTTGTTTACTTCTCTTCTCCGGTCTACTTTTATTGTTGATTAATTTCATAACACTGACAAGTTTAAACGTATGAATATCACTTTTAAAATATCCGAAAATAATATTATTTTATATAACACACGAAACATTTCCTTATTAATTATGAGAAAACCCGATTTCGAAAAAGGCAAGATAATAAATTATACGTGATTTTTTGGACCTCGGAATTCTAAGTGAATTTTAAATTATATACTCATACATTTTTAATACGTTCAAATTGATAACGAACCATCTCAAATTAAAAATTATTGTTGGGGAAGGGGTAAGTTCTAAGAATTCATTATTTTAAGATTAAATACATGAGATGTATAAATAATTTGTAGGTCCTTTTAATTAGTCAAATTATTATAGGAAACTAATATTAATAATTTTACTAATGACGAAACTTGGGCATAGCTTAACTGTTTTTTTTTTTTTTTTGCCAAGGAGAAGCTTGGTAAGTTTTTTGGTCAAATGAAAAAGCTTAAAATTCATGTGAGCACCACACGGCTAAGGAAAGGCAACACATGAAATTTGAGTCTCCCACGTGTAGCGCCACGTGTCGTTTCGCTTTTCTGACCCCGGAGAACAACTTGTCTCCTAAGAAAAGCGGCATTGCCCTTCTCCAGAACGAAATAAAGAAACAAAAGCGTCCGTCTTTCCCACCGGGAACCGTGATCGCATCGCAGATCTGCTGCACAGACCAAACATTAGTGTTCCCATGGCGCTCGAATGGGTTGTGCTTGGATACGCCGCCGCCGCCGAGGCCATTATGGTGCTCCTCCTCACCGTTCCTGGCCTCGACGGTCTCCGCAAAGGCTTGATCGCTGTTACCCGAAATTTGCTCAAGCCCTTCCTCTCCGTCGTCCCGTTTTGCGTCTTCTTGCTCATGGATATCTACTGGAAGTACGAGACTGGTCCTAGTTGCGAGGCTGACTCCTGCACCCCAACGGAGTCCCTCCGACACCAGAAGTCCATCATGAAAAGCCAGCGCAATGCCCTCCTCATTGCCGCCGCTTTGGTCTTCTATTGGCTCCTCTACTCCGTCACCAATCTCGTTGTTAAGATTGAGCAGTTGAATCAGCGGATGGAGCGCTTGAAGAATCGGGATTGAGTCCTCTCATGATTGGCACTTAGCGAGTCAATCGGAGTTTGGAGTATATGACTCTCTTTTCTTGTGTTATAATGGACACCATTTCTTTCAATGCGTGTGTTCTTTTTCATTAATTTTCAAATTTTAACTACTGTTGTACTGATGGTAGTTTTGCTTGTCCAACATTCTCTTTTTGGTTGATTATCTTGGTTACTACGATCTGTTTGAAACTTTATAAGGGCTTTCTCTGTTGATTCGCATCAATGGATCGTTGATACAGCTTATTCGTCTCAAAATGTGGATTTACCGGCATACATTCTATCTTAGTCGCGGTCCGTTTAATTGTAATGCATGCGAAAAACTCAGCCTTAAGGAAAAACAAATGCTTGCTGAAGAATTTGTCTCCTCTGTCTTTGTCCAGTGGATATGTAAGTTCATCGTGCCTTCGCATTCAGCTATACTTAGATTTAAACGTACACATGCGTCTAAAGGAGTACAAGAATAAGCCTTGCCAAGTTATATGATACTATTTCTGTTAAGACAACTGCCTTGCCAGTTGTCTTGTGTAGATGTTGATCTGAACTGCATCCTCCGATTGTACCGTACTGCTGTGAGTTACTATGATATTCTTAAGCTTATTCCTGAATTTTGGGTCGTTTGATGAACACAGGCGCGCGCGCGCGCGCGAAGTGAAGAATTGATCGTAGTCTTTCTGGTTCAACCAGAAAAGCATTTTGGTTGCACACTAACAATCTAATGTCTAATTTCACCTTAATCACTTATGTGGGCTTCGAAGGGTAAGGAGTTGTGTAGTTGAGTTTATTTACAGCATAAAGAATATATTGGTAGACAGAAATTTGTTATATCTTTTTCTCCGAAGCCAAAATATATGTTTTTCTTGTTTGGTGAGTACACGCTGAAGAAGTTAGTAGATTTCTAATCCGGCTCTTGAGTCTGGCTTCTCTGGTTCGGTGGGAAGTGGTGAGAAGGATCAAGAAAGTTCTTTCTTTTTTACTTTGGATGGCATTCTTTTGGTTGAGATTTTTTTTTTTTGGGAAGAAAAATTCTCAATATCATAATCATAGCTCAGAACAATTCAGGCATCAGATTTGAGAAGATTGCTGGAAGGTGTTGTCCACTAGTTCGCAGTTCTTATAGTCTTGGTGGATGTCATTGAGCTAAGTGACCTCGGGATTGCAATTTAGTTTTTTGTGCGGCATTAATAAAGAGTTATTCGAGAATGAATGGGATTTGATTAAGCAATGTTTCCCAGTTTTTGAAGGGTGTTGGGATTCTTGCGGTTTTTCTTACCAAATACAGGTATCATCTTATTGAAACCAACCTTTATTCGAGGTGTTGGGAGAGTATTATTTTTAGTGGCGAAGGTGAAACCAATCTTATTTTCAGTGGAGTATTACCTTTTCAGTTGGGTTTACGTTATTTCATTGGATTCTTGTGGTATCAGGTTAACTTGGCTCCCTGACTTTGGTCCTTGCATGATTCTGCTTTCAACTTCGATTTTATGCTGTTTATGCTGTATTAAGTTGAATATTGATCAATATTGTGTTTGAATGATTTCCCGACTCAAGCATAGTTTGATTTCTTTGCTCAGCATAAGCTACTACCATTTATTTAACTGGTTTCAGTAGATTAAAAAACCAATTAAATTAATTATTGGTAAAAAATATGTATTAGCTTTTTAAAATATAAAATGATAAGTTTATGAGATAAAATGAATTATAGTTTAATATTTAAAACTAAATACAACTCTTCAACTAAGTTTATATGTAAAAATCGCAACAATTTTGTTTTTTTGGGCTAAAGAGATTGCCATGGATCATGATTATTTATTCCCCTCAACGAGAAAATATTTATTGTGGAGAAATAAGTGAAAGGTAATTGTAACAATTAGCCATCACATCAAAGTTGCGTCGGGTGAGAAAAGAGGGAAGGATACTTTCTTCCTTTTTTTTTTTTTTTTGGGACTGATGAGGGGAGGATACTTTGAACAAACATCTTCGATGATAATTCCGTCGAATTAGCAACGGGCCTCGTGAGTGGCAAGGATAATATTGCTGATGAATTAAAGGCCTCTCCATCTATTTTCTGGTGAAGAAATTGCTTCGTTTTATAATAAAGCATGCTATTTTATCAAATATATTTTCTAATAGAGTGGCAATAGCAGTGGGGTTTCTTGGAAAGCTCTATATTCTAGGGTGCATATGGGCATAGCTGGGTAGGGCAAGGCAGGGCAGGGCCCCTACCCGATGCCCTGCCTGAAGAGTGATGCAAATTGCAACTCGATACCCAACCCTATCCATAAAAGCCCTAATCATTTTGGACAGGGCATGGGCAGGGTGGGTTTCGTTGCCCAAAGAGTGATGCCCTGCCCTCATGTCATGGGAAAAAAAATTCTATCCATACCTAAAAATTAAATTTTATAATTCTACATTTTAACACATTAAAATCATCCAGAAATAATCCAAAACAAGTGAAATCATCCAAAACATATCTTAACAATTATCCAATTAAATAACATCAATAATCCATTTGAAGCAAGACGATCTCAATATTATAATTGAAACTTTGAAGTTCAAATGGCATCACTCTCCACAATTTCCACAAAAAGATGGAACACCCGAAAAATACAAATAAAAATAACTATAACTTTAACATATTAGAAACAAAACAATTAAAAAGAAATGTACTTCTAAATTTTAGAGAATGAATAGATGCACATTACCAACTTGGCCAATCATGCTTATAAAATGACCCTTCAATCACCAATCTCCCCTCCAGATGTAGTAGCACCTAGGAAAAAAAAATCAAAGAATAATTACATACCAAATTATGAAGTAATGTGTGTGTGTGTGTGTGAATGAATTATTGAGGTTTTGGGGGGGGGGAGATTACTAGAAAGTTGAAGGACATTTTCTGACTCATCAAAATTATCGAATTCACGAAGCTTGTCAACAAATTCAAACATTGATTGCCCAGGTTGTAGCCAGTTTTGGGTACAAGTTAGTGCTTCTGTCATTTTGGGAGACAAAGAACTCCTATAATGATCAACCACATATCTTTCAGTGCTAAAGGTAGACTCAGAAGCAACTGTAGAAACTGGCATAGCTAATACATCTCTTGCCATGTGAGGGAGAATTTTATATTTTTATGAATTAACTTTCCACCATAATAGTATGTCAAACCCAGCTACAGAAGGGATCCCATCTCTTGAGTTTGTTGCTAGATATCTATCTAACTCAGTTTGAGGATCTGTTGAGATTCTTTGTCTCATAGATTCTAACCACTTATGACCTGGAGAGGGGTGGTCATTGCTCTGTTGAAATTCAAAGCTTCCAACCAAATCAAAAACCCATTCGTTCTCATATAGTCATACTCATACGTGTACAAAATAATTCTAACTATGAAACACGGATAGAAAATGGGTCAGAGAGACTAACTAACAGAGTTGGAGGCTGCCTTCTGCCTTGTTGTGAGCTGCTTCGCTAGTCGATGGTTGTTGCTTTGGTGGTAGCTGCTTCGCTGGTCGGTGGAGGAAGATGAAGTGGAGCTGGTCAGCAGTCATTGCTTTCGATGAGGTGTGACCGACCGAGACTGAGAGACAGAGGGAGAGTGAGAAGTAGACTCTGAGATTGAGAGGGAAGAGCCGAAGAGGGAGACCAAACTGAGAGGGAGATTGGGAGAGGGAGACCGAGACGACGAGACTGAAAGGGAAGAGTCGAAGAGGGAGATTGGGAGAGGGAGACCGAGATGGCGAGACTAAGAGACTGAAAGGGAAGAACTGAAGAGGGAGATTGAGAAAGGGAGACTGAGACACGGAGACAGGCAAGACCGAGACAGTGAGACGGAGACACTGAGAGTGGGAGGGGACTTCGTGAGAAGGGGTTGCGGCTGCTGCTTGGCACAATGACACTAAGGCTGGTTGACTCACGAGTGGATTTAGGGGAAGACCAAAATTAATATTAAAAAAATAATAATATATCTTGAGTAGGGCTAAATAGGCAAGGAAGGGCACCCTACCCACAGCCTGACCCTGCCCGTGATCTGCCTTACCCAAAACTTTTTTTTTTTTTGCTTCAATTTTTAAAGCCGGGCTGGGCTGTTTTTTCCTCGGGCTCGGGCAGGCGCATCAGGCGGACGAACATTATAAACACCCCAACTATATCCCACTTTCAGCGGGAAAAAAATTAGGATCAGTGGTTAATGATGGTCTTTTAGCAAGGAAGACTGAAAAGGCATTCGATCCAGGAATAGGTTGACCGGAAAGATTCACAAGAGACCATTAGAATTAACAACTACACTAGTTCTTTATTTATAAAAAAAATTAGTTCATATGATAAATAAAGTTGAGTTTGTCAATTTTGCGACGTCACAGTCCTTTATGAAAATCGATCCTGTCAAGTCCATGGTGTTTCAGAAGGAAAAAGGGGAAAATAAAAGGAGAAAAGAGAATAGTAGGTGATGTCGATGGGGAACGGGAAAAAGAAAGGACAAGGAGTCGAGAAATTCTTGCATACACCCAGCGTACCACCTCATTTGTGCACTGGCCAGTCATATTTTGACAGCTTGATGAATATTTATCCTACTTGTCAGTCCGCATGTCACTCCTCTCCCTCTATTATTTTAATTATTGTTTTTTGACATACGTGCTCCTTTATTTGCTTTTTCTCCTTCTCTCTCCTGTCTGCAAAATTTTTTTCAAAAACTTTCATTTTCCCTCTCTGGCTCTCTCCGTCTCAGTGCCCCACTCCTCCCATCTCTCTTCCCTCTCTCAAGTACCGCCATTTCTCCCTTCTCCCTCTCTCAAGCAAGTGGATATCATGAGACCCACCTCCATCGGAGTACAGGAGAGTGGCCTAAACTGCCGATGCCAGCTGAAAAATGTGGCGCTCCACGGAGGGATCAGAGTGTGCGCCGATCGTGGCCGCTGCCTCAACGCCTCTGAAAAGTGACGACGCTAATGTCTAAGCTTGGTGAGCTAGTAGTCGGTGACTAGCATGTGG